CAAATGATCCCCCCTCTTGAATTTTTAACCTCAATTAATGCGCTTCTCTTTCTTTTTGGGGGGGAAATAATCCAATCCTTCGAATCATCTGGATTTGGAATTTGACCTTTCCATCCATCCTATATATATATATATATATATATATCCATATTTATGAATATTTATCCACAAATCTAACAGAGTCTTACCCCTATTTCACCCTTAGCAGGGAATACACCGAGAAGGAACACGTCCAGAGCGCGGAACGATGGTTGCGGAAAGCAAAGCTTCTAACCCCATGCGGGATATTATGGTGAACAAGCTGTGCATCAACATCTGCGTTGGTGAGAGCGGAGACCGCCTCACACGCGCGGCGAAGGTGCTTGAGCAGCTCTGTGAGCAGGTCCCCGTCCTCTCGCGGGCCCGTCTGACCGTTCGCACCTTCGGCATCCGGCGAAATGAAAAGATCGCCGTCCACTGCACTGTTCGCGGGAAAAAGGCGGAGGAGCTGCTCGAGAAGGGCCTCAAGGTGAAGGAGTTCGAGCTGATGAACTACAACTTCTCGGATACCGGGTCGTTTGGGTTCGGCATCAGCGAGCACATCGACCTTGGGATTAAGTACGATCCGTCGACCGGGATTTACGGGATGGATTTCTACGTCGTCCTCGGCCGCCGTGGGGAGCGCGTCGCGCACCGCAAGCGATGCAATGCGCGCGTTGGCCACAGCCATCGCCTCACGAAGGAGGACGCGATGAAATGGTTCGAGAAGGTCCATGACGGTATCATCCTCAAGGGCAAGAAGGTCAAGAGGGTCTCGCACCGCCGCCGTCGTTAAATTGAAAAAATAAAAAAAACGCTTGGTGTTTGGTTGCCTGGGGAAATAGAAAAGAGATGGTCAAAAGGGGGTGGAAGGAATGTCGTTGATCAGGATGCCGTCTTTGGAGATGGTCTTTCCTCTGTTGGGCGTCTTTCTCTTTCCCCATGGATTTCCTTCTTCGACTGTGGGGTACTCAAAAAACTATTTTTGTTTTTTTTTATTACTGTTAACTTTCAGCTTAAAAAATGGGATCCCCTCTTCTGAATTTGTCGGGAGGGGATTCTCTACTTTTGTCGTGATTTAGTTCCCCATTTATGTGAAGAATCAGTAGATGATGTTTGAACAAATCCTTTTCTTCCCCATTCTCTTTCCTATTTTCCCTTATTCATAAAGACAATGAAGTAAAATTGTCTAAAGTATGGAAAAGGAAAATGGCTGTTAGACACATTTACGTACTTCTATTAGGATGAACAAGTATCGAATAGGGTATTCATCAGAAAAAGAATAAAAAAAGGATTAACGCTCCAACAAAAATATTGAGTTTCGTAGCTGAATTAAACTCAGATGCATGTTCAACTACCTCCACTGCACGTACACACACACACACACCGACACGAGTGAAATTTGAACGAAGCGGAGCAGTTATTTATCACCTTGAAAAGGTTCAACCGCACTCCTTATTGAAGTTATTACAAAAGATAACTTGAGGAAATAAGACAAAGTTTACGGGTTCGTCCATGTGCGAGGAGCTCTTCATGAGAATAGAAAAACATGGGAAACCATAACAAAAATCCAGGCAAAAAGAATCTACAATAGTTTTTTTTTGCCGTACCTTATCGAAGATGGCTAGTCTTTTCCTTTTATCTCGGTTACAGTTAATCATTTTAACACTTCGTTTTTTCATTATTACTAGAAATAATCCTTCTTACTCACAAATAAAAGGATACTAAAAAAAAAGAGAACCCATTCCACGCATGTCCACCGACGCCGTTCTCCCCGAGGACGAACCTCTACATGCCCTTTCTCCTGTTGACGGCCGCTATAAACCCGCCACAGCCGCTTTGCGGGCCTTTTTCTCCGAATTTGCGTTTTTTAAGTACCGCGTGAAGGTCGAGGTGCTTTATTTCATTGCGTTGTGTAAAGAAGTCCCGGCGATTACAAAACTCCGCGAGGTCACCGACGAACAACTCGCGACCCTTCGCGCGCGGACGTACGAACATTTCTCCCGCCCCGATATTCAGCGCCTCAAGGCGATCGAATCCACCACCCACCACGACCTCAAGGCCGTGGAATATTTTGTGAAGGAGAAAATGCGGACCATCCCGGGGCTGGAAACCAAAACGGAATTTGTCCACTTTGGGTTAACCTCGCAGGATATTAATAATACGGCGATCCCAATGATGCTGCGGGATGCCCTCGAAGGGGTTTATTTGCCCGCGTTGGGGAGACTTTGCCAGGGCCTCCGCGCGCGCCTACCCGCGTGGGATTGCCCGATGCTCGCGCGCACCCACGGCCAGCCCGCGACCCCAACGAATCTCGCGAAAGAATACGCCGTGTGGTTAGAACGATTGGGGAATCAAGAAAAACTCCTCCGGGGCCTCCCCGCGAGCGGGAAATTCGGCGGGGCGAGCGGGAATTTAAACGCCCATCGCGTGGCCTTCCCCTCGGTAGATTGGGTCCACTTCGCGAAGACGTTCTTGGCGAAGTATCTCGGCCTCACCCGGCAGACCTACACCACGCAAATCGAGCATTATGATAACATCGCCGCGATCGGGGACGCCTGCGCGCGCGTGCAGCGAATTTTGATCGATCTTTGCGTGGACACCTGGTGGTATATCGCCTTTGGCTATTTCACGCAAACGACCAAATCGGGCGAAGTGGGGAGCAGCGCGATGCCCCACAAGGTCAATCCGATCGACTTTGAAAACGCGGAGGGGAATTTGGGCGTGAGCAACGCGCTTTGGCATTTTTTATCCAGTAAATTGCCCATCTCCAGGCTCCAGCGGGATCTCTCGGATAGTACGGTGCTTCGAAATCTCGGCGTCCCGCTCGGGCATGCCGTGATTGCCTTTCACTCGATCGAGCGCGGGTTAGGCAAACTTCGGGTAAACCCCAAAGCTCTTACGGAGGATCTTCATCATAACTGGGCAGTGGTAGCGGAAGGGATTCAAACGGTCCTCCGCCGTGAGGACTTTCCAAATCCCTACGAGGCGCTGAAGGAATTCACGCGTGGAAAGGGGGGGCTAACCGAGGAAACCATGCATAAGTTTATTGATAGCCTAGATGGCATTAGCGAGGCGGTACGGCAAGAGTTAAAGGCAATTACCCCGCTAAACTACGTCGGGTACTCCAGTTCTCACCTTTAAGTGATAGATTAGATCAAATCTGTGAGGTGAAAACAACGTTAGGCTTCATGAAAAAAAAATGAGAAAGAGATTTTTGCTTTTTCATCTCTCTTTACTGCAAGCGCTGTGGATGTTTGCGCATACACGAATGAACAAAGACGATAATCAAAAAAAACGTATTGAAATTTTATTTTAAAGGTAGCATGACCTTTGAGTAGAATGACTTAATTTATGTTTATCTACTTTTTAGGTTATCCATCCTACAGGCATAAAGGGAGAGAAAGAGAAAAATCAAGTAATTGAATATGGAGCTGCTGATGAAACAAATGCATGACAATCAATCACTGTAAAAACATAAACATTGATTATAGATATATAATTAAATTTACATTGATATAAATGCACTGAAACAGTTTGTGCCTTTCTTTTCTCTTCTCTTCCAAGATTTAGGATAGATTGCTCAAATACTATCCCATATCGCATAACCTTTAAGACTCCTTTTATTTATTAAAGCTTGCTATTTTTTTTAATTGTGTTTTGAACATCCTTAGGTATCCCAATATTTTCCATACTTCCCAGGGCAGTATCCTCTTCTTGCGTGTGGTTCGTTCCTTTACTTTGTTGAAATAAAGTGTGTGTGGGTGTCGTTTTTTTAACCTTTTTTACGTTACGATTTTTGAAAACTATATCTCTCTATAGCGATATACAGATAAAAATACTTATAATTTTTTTACAATTTTGTGACCTATTCTGAGGGGACTCTCTACCGAAAGTAATCCGACAATGTCGAACCCCCAAACCGAGGCGATGGAGATCAGCAATGACAGTCTCTTCTCCGATTCGTTCGTGCTTGACTCGATGGAGGCCCTACCGAAGCTCACCGACCCCTCGCTTAACCCCCTGGCGCCTGGGAAAAGCTACCACATGAAACCTCGACAAACCCCCACGATGCGGACCTGCCGCTTTGAGCCGCTCGCCCTCGCGCCCCCCGCGGACGACCCGGCGGATGCGTTCGACCTCACGAGTGTCTGCCGGCTCATCTACGAAAGCGATGACAGCGACCTCGCCGAGATGCGGAACGGCGAGCCCGACATGCCGGGCGAGCTCTCGAACTGCTTCGACGTCCCGGGGCTTTTGTACCGCGTCGTTGACCGCGCGCAGCAAATCTGGGCCTTTTACAATGACAGCACCCTCTGCGAGATCGACATCTGCGTGAGCTTCGGCAACCTCAGCCGGGTCATCCCGCTCGACGCGACGACGCTGCAGATGGGAGACTCGGGCGAGGTCGAGGCCCGCGTCGTTGTCTACCCGGGCGAAACGGAGCGCTTCATCAAGGGCTATGTGCGGGGGTTTAAAAGTACATTTCTCGCGCGGCCTCTCTCCACGGAGTTTCTGACCGCCCGGCGGGAGGCCCAGTGGGCGGGCGTCATCCACCCCGAGATCGCCGCCCTCCGCGGCCTGTTCTTTCGGAAGGGCAAAAACGACCAAGCGAAGGAGGACGAGGCAGAGGAAACGGAGAGGCAGCTGGGGGTTTGTCTGGTGGAGGGGCAGGCGTTTGTGGACCTCGCCTTCCCCCCGACCCCGGTGTCGTTTCGGGGGGACCCCAAGAAGGCCTACCCCTGGGCCCGGCCCACGATGTTTCTTCGTCCTGAGCAGGCCGCGCAGCGGCGGCTTTTCCGCGCGGAGCCCGGGCCGGCCCGGATGCGGCTCGGTGACCTCGGCAATTGTTGGATGCTCTGCGCGATGGCCACCCTGGCGGAGAGTCCGGCCGCCCTCCGTCAGATTTTTCGTGGCGGGACAAAGGTCGAACGCGCTCATGGGGCCTACCGCGTCCGATTTAACAAAAACGGCCTCTGGCGGGAGGTCGTCGTGGACGATTATCTCCCGGTCATCGCGTCGGCCCCGCAGGTCGCTCACTCGGTGGACCCCTACGAGCTCTGGCCCTGCATCTTCGAAAAGGCCTTCGCGAAGTTGCACGGCGGCTACGCGCGGATCGAATCGGGCGACCCCGTCCACGTCCTCACCGACCTCACTGGGGCCCCATCGCTCCGTATCGACGACGAACTCGCCGACGCCGCGGAGGAGGGGAAAAAGGAGAAAATCAACAAACTCGGTAAACTCGGGGTCGCTCTCCTTCACCGCCTGGAGGAATTCCGCACCGCGGGGTATGAAATCCTCCTCCACACCGCCGGGACCGCCCCACCGCTGGTGTCTGGGACGGATAACATCCCCGACCTCGGTGAGACTCCCGAGATGGAGAATCAGCTCTCGGGGACGGGCCTGCTGCCCGGGCATGCCTACACCCTCCTCCGCGTGGTCCGCCCGTCATCGCTGGAGCCTTATTTGCTGAAAATCCGAAATCCATGGCTCTGGGGCTCCGACAGCCGCTGTAAATGGTCCCGAACGTCATCCCTGTGGAGGAATTCGAATAAAAAACAAAAGGGGTTGAGTGAGGTCGCCCAGGCCGTCGGGTTCGACCCGGATGACAGCAGCGTGCTGTGGTTGACCGGTCAGGAGATGCTCGAGTATTTCTCCGGTGGCGGTGTGGTCTTCACGCAGGAAAATGCCGCCGAGATACGCATTCCGTTCACCTTTTCCAACGCAAAACCGAGCGTGATCCTGCAAATCCAGGTAGCCAAACCCATCAAAATGTGGATGATGCTTTCTAATATCGACAAGCGGATCCTTTACCAAGAGAACTCGAAATTAGATATGGAATTCGAAACCTGCTCGAATTATCCGCCAATTATGCTCTCCCTAGCATCATACGATGAGAATGGGCACAATATGAACAACGACGGCGCGGAATTGAGTTATCGGATTCGCTTCAATTCCACCAACGATCCTGTACTGCCTTCGACAAATACGTGGACTTTCCTGCAAGCACGTGAGATCGCGATGCTCTGCGAGCTCTCCCCGAGCCCCTATCCGTATCTATTGATCCCACGTATGATAGATGGCGAACTCACGGTGAATTTCGTGGAAAATGCCGGCGATTTTAGAAAATTTGTCGGCATGGAATATTTTGAAAATAGCTGCGCGATGCTTTGCCCAGAAGAGGTGGATAAGGGAGTAAAAGAGATTCCAATGACTCTCGGCCTCCGCGTGGAAGGAAGCTTCGACGACTGTCAAATCTCAGTACGAAATCTACCCGCGCAAAACCCCGTCTTCGCGAACTTTCCGATGTTCACCACGGGAAACCTGGCGAAACCTGCCGGTAAAGGCGTTATATTTCAAACGATGAAGACATCCCAAGGGATTCACGTAAAACATCGGTCGAATGATATCCTCTAAAACAATACTCACAAAAAAAAGTTTTCGAAGCGTAGAAGGAAAATAAGACATTTACGCTCATGTTACCCCCTGACACACACATCTAAAACAAATGTTCTGGAATAGAAATAGAAATTACGTATCAGATAAATGCGCAATTCCATATATTATTATTATCTTTGCATTTGCATCAATCCTAACAAGTTGTGTGTGGGTAAAATATCACTGCAAAGGTGATGTTAGTGTTGGGGCTATTTTATTCTCTTTCTTCATGCCTAAAAATCAGTGAGAGTACTCCTCAGTTTATTATTTCCCCATCCCTCCTTCTTGAAAAAGAGCAATATAGGAGGGTTATCCTCAATATGGAAAAAAAATAAGTTGAAAATTCAGGTAAGGCTAGCACGAATTAATGTTGGTTAAAAAAAGCGCACAATAATCTGAAGCAAAGGATGTAGGCCATGAAACACAACATTTTTTACAATCCCAGTATGTCGCGTTTAGAAAAAATAGAGGTTTTCCGATAAAGTATTCTTGTTTGGGAATATATATATTGCTTGTTTGATTATAGCTACTCCCTTTCCTTTTTTGAGTGTTCCCTTTATGAAAAAATGTACTATTTTTTAAAACTTTATTTTTTAATTCTTCCCACAGAATACCTCTTTTTTACTGTGTCAACATTACTTTTCAGGGATGTTGTACCGTTTCATTTTGGGAGTATTTCTCTATCTGCTAATTAATATAGATAGAAATATAAAAATGTATTGCTTTACATAACAAATGTTTTTTTTTGTCTGTATAAAATTCTAATAATAATCATGAGACAACAATGAAGTGAATATCGACGTGATATGACTCAAGGCGTACATTATTCTGCCTTCTATACGCCCTCTATCACACTTTCTACTTCAGTCCTCTTTTTTTTCCTAGAAATGCTTGGCACATTATAGGCAGTGAATAATCTTTTTTTCCTTGGGCATGGAATAGTTTTTATTATATAAAAATTATGTAAGGTGCTGAACGACAAGGACATAAATTAAATCTAATGCGTAGATCTAACTTTCATAATTGAAATAATATCAACGGTCATTAAAACAGTTGACGGTGCTTTGCTGTAGATCTTGAAACTCACTTGAATATTATTCCTATCCATCTAATATACGTGCCTATGCTGATAACATTATGTTTCTTAAATACAACTATACTTCATCGCATATCGCGAATACCATGACGATGACGACAAAAGACAATTAATATTGTGCTAAATGGTTTCGGAGTGGTATCATTCTACCTATCGCCCTTCTTTATGTTTTTTTCTTAGTTATAGCTCTCTATTATAGAAAATGATATATATATTTGTATTGTGAAGTATAGTTATTTCGCTTTCTATCCATCTTTATCATATACATTCCTCACGACATGTGACCATTGGTAAATCAAATGTGTATTAATATAAACTGCATTGTCATTTGATTGATAATCTGGAAAAGAAAAAAAGCATGCGAATGGGTTACCTATGTTTATTAACAGAAATGGACAATCTGCACTGCTCTTTTGGCTTTTTCCCTTGTTACTCCAATTTGGCGATCTTCCACAGTCCGATTGGATATCCCTCTTGTGATTTGTCACAGCCGTAGTCTTACCCAAGTCAAACTCCATATCTATCCTACACCACCCACCTCCAAAAGAAAACCACCCACTCCCCCAAAAATACATAATTAAAAAAAAAACCATGCACAAAGCGCGTGTTCGGACGGAGTCGATGGTGCAACGCTTCGCCAAGAAGCCCATCAGCGAAGGCTTTGATCTCTGGGACCGCGGCTACCTCTTCGGCGCCCTCCGGCTCTTCATGTTCAAGGCCGAGAGCGGCCCCCCCTTCCAGCTCGCCCCCTGCATCGACGCCATCGCGGAGCTCTCCCTCCAGCTTGGGGCCGCCGATGAGGCCCAGGAGCAGTTCCTCCTCGCCACGGACAAATACCGCATTCTCCAACAGCCCGGCCTGGCGGAGCTCATGCGGGTCCGGCTGGACGAGCTGCTGGCGGGCACGTCCGTCGCCCTCTCCCACCTCGAGGCCTACCTCAACGAGCAGGACCTGACCCAGGGCGGGAAAGGCGGGGATCTTAAAACCCGCGCCGCCCTCGCCCGGGCCTGCGCCTACCTCGCCGAGCTCTACCTCGCCAACGCCGACGACGACGACGATGACGAGGGGAAGCGGAGCAAGGACGCCGAGGTCGCCAAGCGCGCGGTGGAGTTCGCCTCGTTGGCGGTCAGCCTCGGATGGGATCGCGTGCATCTGGGCTATTTCACCCTCGGAAAGGCCTATGAGATGCTAGAGGAGCTCGAGAAGGCACGAGATGCCTATCTTCAAGCCATCAAACACTGCCCGATCTTTTTGAATGGGCTGGAGTACCTTATTGACGTGCTGCGAAAGCTAGAGGTACCTTCGAAGGAATTACTACCGTATATGGATCAGGCTATTGACGCCCATCCCCGGGCACATCTGCTGCGGGAAAAGGCCTTTATTCTTTCCGAGGTCGAGGGCGACGACGCGGCGTTGGCTTACCTAGAGACGTTGATCGCTTCACCTCCACTAGAAGAGATGGAGTGTGTAAGTAGTGATAACAGCGGCCCGACGGTGGCGACATTGTTGAAGGCGAAGGCAGCTATTTTGGCGGATGGGGGGAGGTTTCCAGAAGCCCTCGCCGCCGCTGAGGAGGCTGTGAAAGCCTGTACAAAAGATAAAGAAGCGGAGATGATAGTAGCGGATATTAAAGAAGCTATGAAGGGCTGAAATAAGGGGAAAAAATGTGTGAAGCGACTGAGGAAAAAGGTAGAGTAGGGGATTGGTCTGCTTCCAATTAATGTATTGATCGTTTAAGTGGAATTCACGCGAATTTGATCATGTTATTTTTTTTTCTTAAAAGAATGGGGGGGTAGTGGGATACTGAATCTCAATTCACAATAAATAAAAAAGGAGAAGTAAGGATGCATTCAACTGCAAAAATCCTCTGATATACAACAATATGTATTTTGTATAGGCTTTGAGCATAGTGTGATCTATTCTTAAAAGCTAAAACGAGAGGAATAATGTAAAAATGATAAAAACGAACCGTGCGACCTCATATTTTCACTTGCAGGTGAAAAAAATGTAGGGCACTCTTTTAGCCATCCTTTTGTTGCCATTATACATATGTTTGCTTCTCCATTTCCGAATTCCCCCTTCCCCCTCATAAAATTGCTTTAGGTCTGTTTGCTTCCTAAGAGAAGGTAAGAAAAAGGGATATGTAGGAAGAGATTCTTCTCCTTCAACATTTTGGTTTGCTGTATCATAAAGGAAAGATTATCCTGTAGATTAAAATCAGGTAACTTTTACTATCATTTTTATAACACGTATGCTGATGTATGTGTAGAATTCTATAACTCTGCAAAATGAATATAAATTAAGCAGAAGGATTAGTCTAGCGGAATTTCTTCTACATAACTAATCTTTTTTCCTTTTCATGGGATTCACCCTTTTCTTTCAGTAAAAGAGAATGAATCAAAAATAAAGAAAAATGGAAAAAAACATTATGTTGCCTTTGTTACGTTCACTCATGTGTGTGGGCGTGTGCTTTCTCTTTTATATAGTTTCTACTGTCATGTACACACTCGGATCTGATAGTTTTTATTATAATTAAAGAAAAAAAGGTAATGTATATCGAAAGCGGTCTGAAATGTGCTACCATCACGGAAAAGAAGGAAAAAATCTCACTGCGTATATACATTTATACATCTTACCACTTCGTGTGCTCTTAGGAGGTGTTTATCTCATTGTTCTTTACACAAGCCACGATACTTTTTCCTTGATAATTTTCTCACCTAAGTATGGAGAAACGATATGTCCATTTATCCATTGTCAATTTGACTCTTCCATTTATATTTCTTCCTTAGCTTATTATGAATTAGTCTTAGTTTTCATATCTGAATAAATAAAAGGATACACATTTCTATCATATCTATAATCGTTTTTAAGTAATATTTTTCCCAATATTGAAAAGAAAGTTGCATTGAAGACTGGAAAATATAAAGCG